TAGGAAATGCCATACGTGATTGTCGATTCGTAATAACGATATTTGTATCTTGTTATTACTTACGACCACGAACGATTTAAGATTCAATCATACGTAATTTGTATCTCACAATCACAACTCCTTGTAATTAACAAATTACGAAAATTTGAATCTAAAGATTCTATTATTTAATTTAATTGTCTATTAAATAATAGATTTGCCATTCAATCGCATTAATTATATATTAAAAGTATTTATGTTCAAGATTGATTGGATTTAGGGAATAACACTTAAAGATATGAGATACTCAAATTTATAAATAGTAGAGGTTAGTGATATTTTTAAATGTGAATGTCTCTTGTAACATTAAACTTTTGTCATACATACATGACTCCGATTTGCCAATTGTTACTCGTGAAAACACTGTGACTTGATTCTTATTCTTAACAACATGACCGAAAAAAGATAAACCGATTTCTGTGCAAAGAATTTAAGGTTCCGCTTGGAAGGGATTTTGAGAATTGATTTTTTGACCGTTAGAAGAAAAGTGGGGTCTATTTTTGAAAGAAGAAGTTAAAAATTACGGCTGAAATAGTGAAATAACGGTCAAAAATCAATTTTTGGGGGTAAAAAATTCCTCCCAAACAAGCTCTAAGAGTTGCTGCATAATTTTGCTCGCGTAACAGAGTTAAAGTTAACATGCTCATGTGTAAATTTATCTTCAAACTCGATGTTCAGAATGTATTATCTGTTTTAATTAATTAGTTTATTTGTTTGTTTTTTTTACAATAAGGGGTATTCTAAACCAATCTTCTCCCATTCACAAAATGATAACGGGAACCTTTATTCTCAATGAATTTTTCTTTAGCATTTTTTGTTATCCATTAACAAATTAAATTGTTTACAATAATAACATTCTTTACCACGCATTCGCACAATAAAATATTTTACATACAAATCAGTAAAATTACTTTAAATTTTAACCACACATTCTCGAAATATGTTATTCAAAGCTCTATAATATCTCCGATAATAAAAGACACACAAGCTCTTAAATTCATTTTCAGTTACGCGTTCTCTTAATATTATAATTTTACACATAAATTTATGAATTTTCCTACTTTTCAACCATAAATTCTTCTAAAAATCATTATTCCAAAATTTATTTTTAACAAATAAAGGGGCTCAATTTCATTATGCATTAATTGAATTTCCTAGCTTCCAAACTCAATGTTAAGATTGAACTTTTAAGTTTTAACTTAAAATAATTGTAAAAAAAAAAATAATAATAATAAATAAAATAAATAATAATAATAATAATGCACGCCTAACTGCGCCTGGTCAACGGACGCCGTTCACCGCTAAATAAGGCGCTAGGCGAGGCCAATGCGAGCATTTTAGAACAATGCCTGTAGCACTATTCAAAAATAAATATAGTGAAGAGCTCCATATACACAAGCTCTTTTAGATTTATATTTTTAGCAGCGGAAGATACGACACAGTTGCAACAATAGATGAACACAATAAATCACTATTTTGATGGTTCAACAAGAATTCATGGTAGATGCGTTGGGTGACATAGGCTGTGCGTTCGACGATGGACCATACGGAATTCCTCCGAGGAGGTGTGGGAGACAATTTTGGATCTAATATTGAGACAAAATTCAACACAAATCTTTTTGCTTCCTTTTATGCCAAAATCTTTTACGAAAGGGGGAGGATTTAATGGTATTCTGAATGACACGTGGGCTACAATAGTAGAAGGGAATTGTAGAACTGTTTGTATCGTACAAGAGTTAATTACCCAAAAATTAAACATGAAATCACAAAATTATTTTTCATCCTTACAAAAATTAACATATGTCGACCAAAACAAACGAGATAGTACACGTGATAAACGATGAACTTATATAACAAGACAATAATGTTAATGATGCAACGTGGACGATAAGATCAAATTACAAATAAAACGAATGATCCTAAAAACACGTTAATTCACGAAGAATACCACGAATTTAAAAGTCAAATATTTGTTGATTCTTTGGAAAGCATACTGAAATCTTGATTTTGACTGTAAATCGTTGATTTCAATTAAGTACCAATTTAGGACCAACAAATAGAAATAAATTCAATATTTGGAGAAAAATTCTCACTGAATTTTATTATAATCAAAACTCATTTATTAAGGCCTACGACCCTTAATTAAAATAATGATAACGAATATAATCTGATCATTCATGAGTTAATTCTAGTTAATGACAAAAATTAAAATGTCTTAAATTGAATTTTAAATTAGTTTACTAAGGACCTGCTTGGGAGTATTGGGCACCAACTATGAGCATTTTTTTTTAGCATCAATTTTGAATGTTTATGTACAGTCGATTTTGAGTAGTTTTAGTAATGATTTTTACACGATTGAAAGTTTATTATCTATCGATTCTGAAAATTTTTTAAAATATCAAAATTATATATACTTCTTTAGTGAAATTTTCAATTTATGATTTCTTGTGTTATGTTTTTTACTCATATGTGATATTTTAATTTTTTACATATAAGTTAATATTTAACTTTAAAAAGTAAATGTTTACCTAAAATTTTTAAGCTAATATTTTTACTTATAAGTAAACTTTAAAATTATAAATTAATTTGTTCTTTTAAATAATTTTTACATATAAGTGATTTTTTTACTTATAAATAACTTTTTATATTTCCTAAATAAATTTTTATCTTATTAGTAGTATTTTTGCTTTATAAGCAAATTTGCACACCAAATTGAATTTTTATCTTATAAGTAATATTTTGCCTATGAGTTATTTTTAATTATAATGTCATTTTTTTGCTCTTAAATAATTTTTTTAGTTAATATAGCTGATTTTAAACAAAATATGTTGATTGAAATAATTATTTTATAAAGAATAAAACTAGAAGAGAACATGATAAAAAAACAAAAAATTGTCAATTTGGTTAGTTGAGAGAATCAATCAAAATTACATTACACTGATTTTGGATAGTTTCTAAAGTTGGTGTCCATGAAAACTCGCAAACAACGATTTTTCGAGCCCTGCATAGACGGTGCCACCAAAATCAGTGAATTTTTTTTTTTCCTAAGCATGCCCTGCAGAAATACTAACTAAAAGATAATTTAAAACTCCTAAATGTAAATGAAATATATAACACGGATAAAAATTGCATAAATTAAATTAAAATCAACCATATATCTACCTATTTTATTTTGACAAATTCCTCCCTTCAATAAAAACAATGGAAGAGAAATTGCAGTTCACAAGCAAAATTAACCATCAATTTCAATGGAAACCATTCAAAATAACCAATTGCACACCTAATGGCATAAGTTTGGAACGTCAGTGACAAAATTCGAAGATTTAGAACAAAATGCAAGAAGTTCAAATGCTTAACCTCTTAAACTTTACAAACCTCCCAACTTGTTTAACTTATGGAGATAAATAATGCTATTTGCGGTTACTTACTGTCGCAATCGTCCTACATAGCATACATGTGACGATTAATAATTTGATATATGAGATAAGAAAATATTATATTATAAATAAATCAAATCACAAACCGTGATGTAGGATGTCATATAGAGCGACTACTATAATGAGCGATCATAAATAACATTACTCTATGATAATAGATTGAAAGAGATTTATTTTTATTTTTATTTTTTTTTAAGGTTTTCCCAATGATTAATTCCTCAATTTTATTTTCCATAGAGTTTACACAGCCTTTAGCATTAGAATTGATTTTTAGTTTCGAGATTATACAGAGATATTGTTTCTTTGCTGATCTCTTCAATTTCCCCTAAAAGGCATATGCATTCAAAAGGAACCAACCACTCAATAATCAAAACAGAAGCTGCAGACGCCCCCCGGGGCACATCCAAGTTGGCAGAACAATCACATTGGGGGGCTCTGGAACCAAGCGTGGGGAGTTCGATTCCTGGAAGGCACAACTTGGAAGGCAAGATTTATCTTGGAAGGCAAGTTGCTGTAAGGCAGTGAAGAGGCTCCCTTTGGAGAAGGAGTAAAAGCCATGTGGGAACCTGGGAACCAATAAGGACACATCTCGCGATTTACCTCCATGAGCTGCTGAGGGGCCGGAAGTTCAGGGACGAGGATATAGTCTGGCGCAAGCTGGGACACCTCGTTATAAAAAACACAATAGGTGAAAAGAGAACATTTGGATATCCATTCACCATAATATAGGACTTCAATATAGAAGAAAAATCAAAATGGCTACTTAGAACATTTCTGAATTAACACTATTATAAATATACTCTTAAACCTGCAATGAAAATTGAGAAAAAAGAAAAATATGAAAACTAGTTTCTTTTGTTCTTGCCTATGATAAATTGTTCTCTGAATTTTGGCATACTTCTTTACCATGGAAAAGAGCATCATCATGCATGTAAAAAAATAAAAAGTAAAAAATCTTCCAAAATTTCTTTTCATCTTCTGATGAGGACATCTTTTTATTATTTTGGGCTATACTACTTTGGGTTTGTATTGATGGGCCTGACCCAAGCCCATAACTTTTAGGGTTATATTTTGTATAAGTGGCTTGTATTTGAGGGATAAAAGAGAAGGACAATGATGGGAAATTAACAGGCTTTACTGCCCTCACGTTTTCTCTCTCTTCGGGTATTTTCTTCTTTCCTTTTCTTCTCCTGCTTCCTCCTCTTTATTTCTCTGTTTTCTCCTTCTTCCCTGTTACTGCTGCTCTCTTTTCCTTTTCTTTGTTACACTAACAAAACTGCGAGATAGTTTCAGTAGACAACATCGACAGAAAGTAAATCGGACATTAGCTAGATCACTTATCATTTTTGTACAAGTTGACAAAATCAAGTCTATTCCCAACAATAACATGACCCCCATATCATCATTATACTTCTGCTAGGTTCATGTTATCTTGACCTAATTACGTGTCATACACTCTTTTCTGCCTTTCCATTTTTAGTCCATGTCCTTCACTCTAGCTACTTCATCATCAAGCGCCGTCACTCAACTGAAGTTGGCTGCATGAAATATTTTCCTTCTTTTCCTTTTCTCTGTGTATATCCTTCTTTGTATTGGGTTAATGTATATGCAGAAATAATCAGTAGTCAACTGCACCTACTCGCGGTAGCCTATTTTAAAAGACAAAGGCAACGTCTACATTTTTTTTCGTCTTCGAGTTTGAAACTTCAACAGAAATAGATATTAGCATATCTCCCAGCGTATGACTTGCCTTGTGACAATTGTATACAAAAATCAAATAGAGATTTCTTGAATTTTTATATATATTCTCCTCATTGCCCAACCAAGATGTGACCCTAGTTGTTTTGAAATCAAATTACAGCAATTCTTCCACTTTTCTTTTGGATAAATTGTAATTATAATTTCAATGCTGACAAAATCTATCTTTTTATATGTTTATAAGAGTTATATTATTAATTTATTCTTTTTTGACAGCGAGAGAAAGACAGTACCCCCTTCTGCTTGCAATATTCCTCATCCGTCCAGCACTCCTCATTCTTGACAATATCAGCTGGCCAATTAGGGCTTGGGACGATGGCAGATGTGGATGAGGTCACCACCGCACGCCTAACGCCTAGTTCGTTTGCTGCCGTGAGTACATTAATTGTGCCTTTAATTGCTGGTGCCAATAGCTCATTCTTCATCAAACAATCCAAACAAAAATACAGGAAGTCAGCATATAGCAGAGTACTAATAGAAGTCATATGCATGTACAGATAGATATATGGATGGCAGAGAAAAGTTTGTTGCAACCTCAGGATCTCGGACTTCATCAACAATGCAGGGAGAAGCGAGGTGGAAGACACCAGTTGTGCCAGTGATGGCGGTGACAATGGAATCGTAGTTAAGAAGATCCATTTGGAAAAGCTGGAGACGAGATTTTGCGCCTTCAAAATCTTCCAAATGTTTTGTTTCTTTCTCATCCTCTGAGTAGCATAACAACATTAAGAGCATGTTTAGCTAAGCTTTAAAATGTCAATCATACTACATGAACTTCGGGTTTGATATCGGGGATGTCCGCATACCCACACATGGATGGTCAGACCTTATTTTATTCACAAGGGACCCAAGCATCCATGTGAGTGGACGGTCATCCTCCCGGATCGTTCGGCTTTACTCTTAAAATGTAGCTTAACTCTTTTATTACCTTTAAGTAAGAAAAAAGGAAAAAGAAAAAAACTCCCTACCAGAAGAAAGGATGACAGGGGCTTTGATCGCCTCTCACAGGAGCCGAGACCCGCATGAATAAATAATTGGAAGAAAAAAGTGGCCTCACCCCCTATTGTGAGGGTCAATCAGGGCTTCGGTCAATTTTTTTCTGACAGTATAGCTCGGTTGAAAAAAAAAAAAAAAAAAAAGGGTTATATTGAGGATGTTTGGCTACGCTTAAAAAGATTACTTAATAAGTTTTAAAATAAATGTTTTTTGTTTTGATTGTGAAAGTTGAAAATAAGTGAATTGCTTATTTTGATATTAATGTAAGAGTTACTCTGAGAAATAACCTTTTTTTACTTATAAAAATAAGAAAAAGTAAGTATTTGTTTGGACACAAAAGTTAATTAAAAATATGTCACTCTTAGAATTAAAATTTTTAAACTTAGCCAAACATGCTCCATCAATCTAAATTAATCACAACGAAGAAGATAATGTCCTAATATGAGAACAAGAGATTATTACTGAGATCTTTGACAGTGGCATGGACGGTGTATCCACGTTCGAGAAGGAGACGAACCAGCCATGAACCGATGTAGCCGCTCCCTCCGGTGACGCACACCGCTTCTCCTTCTCTCTTTGCCATTTCACTAACATACACACACAAACACACACTTAGCACTAGTTTTCCAGAAACTGTGCATTTGTTTTAAACAGTTGATAATCCAATAAATATTGGTAAGACTAGCAAAGAATTTTCTTGTTTAAGTGTATCAAAGTGTGTAACAACTTGATCTTCCACACGCCCCCTCAATTTGAAGGGGAGACTTCGGACTTTCCGATTGTTTGTGACGTTTGTAGTGCTCTTGAAGACAATTTTGCTTCTCAGTCTAGAGCAAGAGCTAATATGTTTGTACACAATTGGCAAATGCCAAATACGGTGGACAGTCTGCATTAAAATATTTCCTTTCTATCATCAGAATTAACAACTTCATCTTCCAAACAGTGTAACTAATTAATTGCATATCTATAACAGCAATTAATAAACACTTAATTTACTTGCAGTTTTAATGATCATATGGAACTGAACGAAGAAATTTGGATATTTCGGGACACGATCAGAGAGAGAGAGAGAGAGAGAGAGAGAGAGAGCGAATAACCGGTGAGAGAGGAGGAAGACATACCCTCGTAGGCTTCCGTCGGCCAATTGACTTCCAGTTGGAGAAGATAATTGGAGATGGATTTGGTTTTGGTCACTCTGGGACTGTGGTTCTGCCTGAGGTTAAAAGGTAAAGTCCAGGCTCAATAATTAAAGTTCTCGTAGGTGTTCTCTCTTTCAAATCTAGCTGCTGTTTGTTGGAATTAAATTCAGATATTTTTAGTAGTGAATCATGATGTGTGTTATCGATATTAATTTTAATCATACATTTTATTAATTTTATCCAAATTTATTAAAATTTTAATTTTAATATACACGACAAGATTGATTGAAGAGATTGTGAATTCAATTTTTCAAATAAGTGATTAAACCAAAATGAGGGGCAACTGTCGAGGAATTTTAGAGTTATGTGTAATTTTTGTTTTCATAGTCTAGTCTGGGTCCCTCGAGACAATCTTCGTAAACAATTGAAAGCATCAATACTATGTTAATAGAATCTTTATTTTCATTTTCCACACATTTTTCCTTGAATTCTTGATACACTGTTTTTTATATGAAAGAAAAAAAAAAATCGAAACTATCAATTAGATTTTTATTTTTCCCAGTAACCAGAAGTTACTCTAAAATTGATTATGGGACATGATTAATTAATAATATTGAGGCAATACTTGAGACACCCTTTACGTATCACTAACCTCTCGAATATTTAGATGACAGGAGGGGTGTTGGGGGACCCTTAAAGTTAGGGTTTAACCTTTTAGATGACAGGAGCTCGGTTCACACTGTTTGTAGTTGGACCCCACATGTATTAGAAAGAAAAATTTGTAGGCCCCACCCCCACCTCTTTCTCACCTGGCAAGAGCATATGAAACAGGCTCACGTACATGCATCATTTTTCTATTTAGATTTGAGTACCGCACACAATCATTTTTTGCGCTCTCTCCCTCCACATGACATGAAGAAGTTCAAATCGATTTTAGTGCAAAAAGTGTTGCTTATGCTACTAACAAAGTTGAATTTAACATACTAATATATAATTTACCTTCATACCCAATATTCAGTATGTATCATTCATGTTGCATGTAAATATTATTTAATTAAAATTGAAAAAAAAAATTAAAGATTTGCTTAAAAAGAAATAAAGAAAAAAAGGAGCTTAAAAAATATTGGAACAGTCGACTCAAGACGGTTAACAGTTTGGTTGCCCCGACTGGTCCGCACAACTATTAATCGTCGGGTATAGTCATCGATATAAACACTAAAATCGCTACTACACTCAATAATCTACCTTAATAATGAAAATTAAATATCATAAACACCATAAAATACACAAATAAACATCATAAAATCCACAACTTTTTGAAACATTATAAATGAAAAATCGATATCATAATCCACAAAAAACCTAAATTGTTGAAGATAATGCATGCCAGTAGTTGGGTTGTGTGGTTGTCAGACGATGGGGATGCAATTTTGTCTAGATCCCAATGGTTAGACTGTGCGAGTTTTTTTTCTTTTTTCCTCTTCCACTCGTTCTCTTTGCACTGCAATGAGAGTATTTTTGGCTTTTTGTATTTAACTTCACAATTTTATCTTTTAACTCTTTTTTTTTTTAATGGTCAAAGGTTGTTATGGAAATATGGCCAGGTCAACCGGCCATTTCCATGTATTTCCTCCCGGTTTATATGACAGAAGATGTCTTAGTGTATAATACAAATATCATAACAACAAGAGTATACAAGCATTCAGTTCCATACACCATAATTATCCTCAGCCAACACCTGAAATTCCAATTATATTGGTAGTAAAGTCGTAGTTCAAAGCACGAAAATTACTCTTAAGAAATAAAGCCTTTGCTCTTCAAACTCTGGACAGCATCCCTAATAATCTGCTCCATGGGAATAAATTCGAGACCCAAGTCTATCAACTTCTTTGACGCGTCCTTTGCCCTCAACAACCCAGGCTGAGTATCCTTGGGCAACCTAAGGAAAGTGCCAACACATTCAGCAATACTTGCATTTGAGAATCATTAATAAGAAAGACAGTGCAAATATATTGAGAGAGCAAGTCAAGAGAAAACAGCATAGATACAAAATTAAAAAGAAAAGAAAGTAAAATCAGGCACTTTTTTTTTTTAATTCACGGGAACTCTTTCTCCTTTGAAGTTTGAAATAGCAACCCACGACCCAGAGAAATGAATATGGGAGAAAACAAGAGAAAAAATATGTATTATAATGATATTGGACTAGTCCTAAACAAAATGCAGTCTCTTTTAAGTTTCAATGTTCTGTATATTTCGCCAACGTTTCACAGTTCAAATTTGAGGATATTTTGCAAGAGTATGCAATCAGAGCCCCTTACCTTGGAATCTTGTACTCTGGGAAAAGTTCCGCCACCTTCGCAGCAAAATCACCATAATGAGATATTGCCTCAACACACAAGTGCCTTCCAGTTGCTGATTTGTTCTCGTACACCAGTATGTGTGCCAGAGCCACATCTTTAACATGGACAGATCCCATAAAGAAATTTTCATATACGTCAGTGCAACCTAAAACATCCAAGGAAAAAATGACAAGTGATCAAAAAATGTCAATTGATCTCAACATTATTCCCAAGAACAAATGGTATAATTCTGCCACAAATGAGTGTAATAGTTTTTATCATTCTTTTTTTGAACCAATTAGCAAAAAGATCAGTGCTTGCTACTGATTACTTACTTTTGCAACTAATATTCTAATCTTTGAAACTAAGCATGAAAACAGATGGAGGGTAAAGAGGAGTTGGACAAATAGATCTCAGTTCTTGTTAATAAATTAAATTACAGTTTACTCACTCATCTCAAATTAGAATTACCCTGAAGAAGGCGCAGGATCATTAGCATGCTAGCATTTAATGTCGGAGGGATAACTGGGCCCATCACCGTTCCAGGATTTACCACAACTATATCCAATTTCTTTTCCTTGGCAAATTCCCAGGCAGCTTTCTCTGCTAGTGTTTTAGAAAGGGGATACCATACCTAAAATACAGAACAAGAAAATTTCATCAACATACAGCATATAATACAGAAATTAATTATTAGAATAAAAGTATGGACGATAGGTGAAAAGAGAACATTTGGATATCCATTCAGCATAATATAGGACTTCAACATAGAAGAAAAATAAAAATGGCCACTTAGAGAACATTTCTGAATTAACACTATTACTCATATATTCTTAGACCTGGAATGAATTTTCCCCCCTTTTTTTAATAGGTACTTAGACCCGCAATGTAATTGAGAAAAATATGAAAACTAGTTTATTTTGTTTATACATATATCTTGTTCTTGCCTACGACACATTGTTCTCTGAATTTTGGCATATTTCTTTACCACGGAAAAAGGTATCATCATGCATATAAAAAAATAAAATATTCCAAGATCACTTTTCACCTTCCCTCCCTTGTGTTTGTCCCCCTGTATCCCTTTTCTTTGTTACACTAACAAAACTGCGAAATAGTTTCAGCAGACAACATCAACCAAAGTACTCAGACATCAGTGGTTGACTTTTCTAGATCACTTATCATATTTGTAAAAGTTGACAAAATCAAGTCTATTCCCAATAATAACATAACCCCCATAATTCTACTTCTAGGTTCATGTTATCTTGATCTAAATACATGTCATACACTCTTTTTCTGCCTTTCCATTTTCAGTCCATGTCCTTCAATTTTGCTACGTTATCATCAAGCACGGTCACTCAACTGAGATTGGCTGCATGAAACATTTTTCTTCTTTTCCTTTTCTCTATGTATATCCTTCTTTATTTTTGGTTAATGTATATGCAGAAATAATCAGTAGTCAACTGCACCTACTCGCGGTAGCCTATTTTAAAAGACAAAGGCAACGTCTACATTTTTTTTCGTCTTCGAGTTTGAAACTTCAACAGAAATAGATATTAGCATATCTCCCAGCGTATGACTTGCCTTGTGACAATTGTATACAAAAATCAAATAGAGATTTCTTGAATTTTTATATATATTCTCCTCATTGCCCAACCAAGATGTGACCCTAGTTGTTTTGAAATCAAATTACAGCAATTCTTCCACTTTTCTTTTGGATAAATTGTAATTATAATTTCAATGCTGACAAAATCTATCTTTTTATATGTTTATAAGAGTTATATTATTAATTTATTCTTTTGTGACGGCAAGAGAGAGATAGTACCCCCTTCTGCTTGCAATACTCCTCATCCGTCCAGCACTCCTCATTCTTGACAACATCAGCTGGCCAATTAGGGCTTGGGACTATTGCAGATATGGATGAGGTCACCACCACACGCCTAACCCCGAGTTCTTTTGCTGCCGTGAGTACATTAATTGTGCCTTTAATTGCTGGTGCCAATAGCTCATTCTTCATCAAACAATCCAAACAAAAATACAGGAAGTCAGCATAGAGCAGAGTACTAATAGAAGTCATGTGCATGAACAGATAGATATATGGATGAGTGCAGAAAAGTTTGGTGCAACCTCAGGATCTCGGACTTCATCAACAATGCAGGGAGAAGCGAGGTGGAAGACACCAGTTGTGCCAGCGATGGCGGTGACAATGGAATCGTAGTTAAGGAGATCCATTTGGAAAAGCACGAGACAAGATTTAGCTCCTTCAAAATCTTCCAAATGCTTCGTTTCTTTCTCATCCTCTGAGTAGCATAACAACATTAAGAGCATGTTTAGCTAAGCTTAAAAAAGTAGGGTAACTTTTTTCTTTTACTTATTTTGAGGATGATTGCTAAGATAAAAAAGATTACTTAAGTAAATAAGTAAGTTCTAAAATAAATATTCTTTGTTTTAATTGTGAAAGTTGAAAATAAGTAGAATACTTATCTTGATACTAATGTAGGAGTTACTTTAAAAGAAATAACGTATTTTACTTAAAAATAAGAAAAATGTAAGTATTTATTTGGACACAGAAGTTGTTAAAAATAAGTCACTCTTCCAATTAAATGTTTTAAACTTAGCCAAACCTGCTCCATCAATCTAAATTAATCACAGCGAAGAAGATAATGTCCTAGTATGAGAACAAGAGATTATAACTGAGATCTTTGACAGTGGCATGGACGGTGTATCCACGTTCGAGAAGAAGACGGACCAGCCATGAACCGATGTAGCCGCTCCCTCCTGTTACGCACACCGCTTCTCCTTCTCTCTTTGACATTTCACTACCACAAAACTTAGCCCCAGTTCTCCAGAAACTGTGCATTTGTTTTAAACAGTTGATAATCCAATAAACATTGGTGAGACTAGCAAAGAAATTTCTTGCTTAGAGTATTACAGTGTAACTAATTAATTGTATATCATTAACAGCAATTAATAAACACCTAATTTCAGTTTTAATGATCATATGGAACTGAACGAAGAAATTTGGATATTTCGGGACACAATCAGAGAGAAAGAGAATAACCGGTGAGAGAGAGGAGGAAGACATACCCGCGTAGGCTTCCTTCGGCCGATTGACTTCCAGTCGGAGAAGAAAATTGGGGACGGATTTGGTTTTGATCATTCTGTGACTGTGTTCTGCCAGAGGCCCACCCTGGAGGGCCATGGTTGGCCCACCTTTAGCGATTGACCTTTCGGGTCCGAGGGTCCATGCTAAATAATGGACTATGCTAGAAGTTTAAAACCAATTACAAAAAGTTTGATAAATTTGACACTTGGCGGCTGCCTGTTGGAGGGAAGGCTGTGGTGCCAACCACCCCTCCAACAGAGGGTCGCCAAGTGTCGAATTTGTCAAACTTTTAGTAGATTATTTTGTACACATATATTAATCCATAATTAGAATTATTCTTATTGTATATTGGGGGTGCCATAAGGGTCTATACCCATTGCACCATCCAAATAATTAAAGTTCGCGTGGGTTCTTTTCTCTCTTTCAATAGCATGTTTGGTGAGGATTAAAATTATATTTTTTAATAAATTGTGATAAAAATTTTTGAAATGTGCTTTTAATATTGATTGTTTGACTTTGACGTAAATTTAAATTAAAATCAAATTTTAATTCAAATCAAAGAGGCTCCAAATTTAGCTGTTGTCTGGTGGAATTATATTCTCATACTTTTAGTAGTGAATCCATGAAATGTATTATCAATAATTAATTTGACAGCTGTGATACCTGCACAGACCCATTTGCACAGGGGCTATCACATGAGAGGTGCACCCCATGTGCATTGAGCTTTTTTCTTAATTTTAATCACACATTTTATCAAATTTATCAAAATATCGACCAATAGGATTTAAATGTGGCCATTACAAAACAGAAATGCTTCACTACCAAAAGAATGGGTGATTCCTGGCCGACCCTCATGGCAATGGGAGACCCCACTTTTTTATTTTTTTGAGTAGTTTTTATGCGGGTCCCACAATAATGTGTCTATTTGTCAGCTCCTACGTCAAAAATCTTTTGGCAATTCAACTTTATTCTTACAAAAATAATAGAAGATATTATGAATTCAATTTTTTAAAAAAGTGATTAAACCAAATCAAAAGGGCAACTGTTAAGGAATTTTTAGAGTTATGTGTTGTACCGATTTTTGGTTTCATCGTCCACTCTGGGTCCCTCGAGACAATCTTCATAAACAATTGAAAGCATCAACACTATGTTAATAGAATCTTTATTTTCATTTTTTCCATGAATTCTTGATACACTGTTTTTTATATGAACCAAAAAAAAATAAAATGTAATTATCTATTAGATTTTTACTTATATATATATATATATATATATATATCATTTACGTTGCATGTAACTATTCAAAAATATATTTTTCCCAAAAATGGTATTCAAACAGGAGCTGACTAGTTAGTATGAACTTTTTCTACTTCGAAATTTGAAATATTCGGGTATGTACTTATTAATTATTCACATCTTGTAATGCATGCCTTTGACGCTTGTTCTTAACCAAAAGTAACGGAGAATTTGTTATTCTCTCTTTGTGTAAAATCATGAATATTAAGATTGATGCATAAAAATAATTGCTAGCTTTTGATAGCAAGCTTCCACAATTAGTTGGTGTATATTAACATTATTTTGTACGTTAACGTAGGGACATCTCACACAGTCGAGTACATAAGACAAATCAGTCCTTATTTTCAACTAATCTTCTGTGAATACCATAAACTTTGACATTTTGTTAAGTAAAATGTCTAAATACTTGGAGCCGTATTATAGTACAATTAATATCTAAATATTTATTAATGTCGTTTTTCCAATAACTTTCATCGACTTTCAACCACACAAATTTTATAAATTTTGATAAAAATTTATAGAAAAAAATTCAATTTTATGGCTAAACCAAACAAGGGCTATGACAAATATAATTATTGACATATTAAAGGCTTGTTCGGTAGTAATTATAAAAATTGATTTTTTGACGATTAGAGAAAAAAGTGGGTCCCGTCTATGAGTGAAGGAGTAAAAAATAACGGCTGTTCTAGGAAAGTAACGGTCAAAATTTCGATTTTTTGGGATGAAAAATCAGAACTAAACAAGCACTAGGCCTCTTTCATTTACTGACAAAATTTTGCCGTTGGAAATTTATTTTATAGACATACATTAAATCAAATAAAATGCCTCATTTTCTAATTATGTGATTATTATAAAATTTTATAATTTTTGTTAAAGAGGATTCAAAATTTAAAATGGTTGCTAGCTTTTGAGTGCAAGCTTCCAGGATTAGGTGTGTATATTCACCTTATTTTGGATATTGAAGAAGGGACATTCCATAGCGTTCCGTGCATAAGACAATCCAATCCTTTATTTTCAACCTATCTTTTGTAATTATCCTAACATAAACTTTTGGCTTTGCTTGTTTAAAAATTTAAATATGAGAGAGCCGTATATGTTTGATATGTCATGCAGGATAAATCAATAAATAAATGATAATTACTCTTTTTTTACGTGATTGAATACCATTTAAAGTTTGCTTTTAAGTAAATAAGTAAGTTACTTATTTGATTATGTGATTTAATTAGTAACTTCTAAATTTAAAATTTAACTCAAACATTCTCACTGTCCTATCTCTTTTACATGTCGATCAAATGAAATGACCACGAAAGCACAATAGAGAATGGGGGCGGCATATATTCGATCATTATATTATTCAGTATTATATGATAAAAAATGACCTTAAATTTAAAGTATTGAGCTATGTAAGATTACAACTTCTTGAAATTGTCGTTAACATGTTAAGTTTGTATTTCAAAAACATGTAAACCTAGGAAATTGAAGTTGTTTACTGAATTACATTAATTAATTACTTCTTTAAATGATTAATAACAAAATTTACTGACAAAATTAAAAATCAACGAGTCGTGTATGTTTGATATACCATGCTGGATAATTCAACAAATAAATGATTAATACTCTTGTTTTGCATGATTGAATACACTTTCAAGTTTAGTTTTAAGTAAATACGTAAGCTACTTATTTGATAACGTGATTTAATTTGTAACTTCTCAATTTAAAAGAAGAAGATAATTTTAATTCAAGCATGCTCACTATCCTATCTCTTTTACATGTTGATCAAATGAAGTGACCACGTAAGTACGATAGAGAATGGGGTTGGCATACATTCAAACATTATACTATTCAGTATTGTATACTAAACAATGACCTTAAATTTAAAGTCTTGAGCTGTGTAAGATTACAAGTTCCTAAAATTGTCATTAACATTTTAACTTTGTATTTCAAAAACATGTAAACCTAGCAAATTGAAGTTGTTTACTGAATTACATTAATTAATTATTTCTTTAAATGATTAATAACAAATCAAGACTACATTATCGTTGGCAAGACAATATTTTGAAGGCCAAGGTTTTTTGAGATTAGTATATATCTATTTACACTTAAATAATAAATAGTGTACTTGTCAAATCATTTTAAATTAATCTCATATTTATTAATTTTAATTTCAAATTAAAAGCCCCGTCTGGTGAGATTAAAATTATATTTTGACATTAACAAATAAAATGTGTTGTTGAAAAATTGTAAATCCCATGAAATTAAATTAAATTTAGATTTTAATTCATACCAAACAGGAGTTAAATAACATTACGTAACAATCAAAGATTTTGAATTTATATTTCATCATTTATTATTTGTAAAAATTTCACATGTTATGCATTTATGAAAAATACATTAAAAATAGAGTTGTTACGATTGTACAATATTTTGAATAAATAAATAAAGTTGTATAAACACGTGTATATTTTATAAGTGGCCTTACAATTAATAGTGAGACAGTATAATGTGGGAGTAAATAAGGCTCACGAGGAATAAGCTCCGCCGGTTTCAAATTAGTTAATGAGAAGCGACAAACACACCTTAAATGGCACGCACAAATTGTAATTGATTATATATTATAATTTGAATTAAAATACAAAATATATCTCGTACTCTGTGTAATTTTTATTTTTTTCTTGGACTTTGGATACTTTTGTTTTTCTAAGAAATAATCTTCACAAAGCATCAATGTCTGTTTATAATTAATTTGCCACCGTCAACTCCATAAAAGGGCTGCAAATTCAACTAAGAATGCACCAATTTATTTATTTATTAAATATTTTTTTCTTGTCAATATATCCTTGTCGAAAATAAGATTATAAAAAACATTTGTTGTTTGATATTGACGGTTTAAATTTTTAGATGTACAAAATGTTTATTGGTGCAAATTAGAAATTGAAGTGAGACCTAGCCAAATGGTGAGATACCGAGTAACTGTTCGATTTGTTCAAGCTCTTTTTACATTTTGTCATTGTTCTTTTATAAAAGATTATAAACGTGAGAGATCTTTGATTGAAAAAAGAAAAAAATAATCTAGTTCGTATGTAAAGGCACATGCTGAGAATATTTGAACGAACTTTTTCTTATTTTTTACCTACTCATGCCCCCACTGTGATGACGCGAGGTGAAAACATGAAAAATGATGGAATTTCTTTTGTTCTTGACATAAAAAAGTTTATAGTGTGAGGCTCCTACAAAAAGTTATTAGTTCATTGGTAGAGCGCGATCCTATTAATAGCTCAATGGACTTCTAGGTTGGTAAGTCTTGCTAGGTCTTGATCTTGACTATGAATCCTTTTAATTTACTTGTTCTTAAAAAATAGTTATTATTTAGCTTCAACAAGAATAACCTAGCAATTCTTATAAAAAAAAGTATTTGTATTTTAACTTCGATAAGAATACACATTCAATTAAATTTAAAAATAAAATAAAAGGAAAGTGACTAGAAAATAGGAAATGTTTGAGTCTCATTATATCTTAATAATGTATTTTAGAATAGTAGATTGATGGAGAACATGAGCTTAAAAAATAAGAAAAAATTTTGAATCTACATTTAATATTATTTTATTAAAGAATGTATAATTAAAAAAAAAAAAAAAAGAGAAAAAATTTATTTTAAAATGAGTGGAATCAAACAAGGACTCAACCTCACTGCCAATTTCAAAATCCTGCTGTTTCATGTCACGAGGTTGCACGCCTTCGTAACGCTATTCAATCAAATATTTATTTGGATGCATAAGA